TCCCCTCGTACCGCTTTCACCGTCAATTTCAGCTCCTACAATTCTTTTAACCATTTTCTAAAATATCTATAGTAGTCAATATTTTCATATATTGTCTCAGTGTTATCATATATTGCAACGTATTCTAATAAAGGATCTTCATAATTTCCCTCACTGATGTCCGAAATATTAAATAGACTCTGGCAAAGATATCGATTTAGTTATCTATTTCGAAGTGTTTCCATTTTCATAAAATTTAATTTTCTTTATCTTTTTTTTTTTTTAGTCCAAGGGGGCAATTAGCTCAGAAAGACTATTAATTCGTTTTGCATTTTGCGTCGATTAACGATAAGCGTTGTTTCACTTTTCAAATTGTTGCCACCAAATATTATCGCCCTGAATTATATTTAAAGAAATTAAATAATGAAGAATTTGCATGAATGTATGTATGTTTCTCGCATTGTGATAAAACAACGGTACCTAGAGCCATCAAAATTTGAATAACGTATACTTCCATAAAATATGGACATGTGGAAACCCTAATTGAATTTGAAATTTGTTTTACTATCGATTTTTTATATTTTGTAACACTTCAACGAAATTTTGATTAAAAAAACTAAACGATTTCAAAACGAGCAATGGCAACACTGTACGAAGGAAAAAAAAACATTTTTATTTCCAGCGCACGAGACTCTGTATCGGAAATTCTAAAGACGTGTTTATTTTAAAATTAGTTTGCGATATTGCTGTTGAACTGAATTTTACGGTTTGAATACGTAGAACATGATATTTGATAAATAAAGGTAACACACAAAACGTTAAAAAAACGCCCCTTTGGACGTAATATAAAATCTGAAACCTTTTAGATTTTTTAGGTTTTTCTTTATTTTTTTTTCTTTTGAACGGCACATTTTCTATAATGCCGTTTGAAAGCTTGTAATACCTTAGTCTAAAGGCTGAATGACAGAAGTCGTATTTGCAGGAAGAAACACTAATTTAATGTCTTTCAGAAGGATAATAGAAACGCATGCAGCACAATTATCTAACAGTAAAGCTATTTTTTTCGTCTTACAATTCTCTGTCTCATTTCAAAGGGAAATAAGTAAAAATACTGCGTGATATGTATGAGTTCCTGTTATTATGGTAAATTAAACGTAAATTCTTGACTCCTTTTAAACATCGAGGTTTCCGCATAACTAATGGTATATTCTTAATTGTTGCTTGCATATTAAACTTAATAACATAGTTACTCGCTCTTTCAGTTTCTTCAAACCCGTTGCTATTTAATTTTTAAATATTAATGTGGACTCCGTTAATACTCTGAAAAACAGACCAGTTTCATCTGTGTTATGAATTCGTGTGGCTTGTACTCATTTAAAAGCATGGGTAAAACGTCTTTTATCCAGTTCCCCACTGAATAATGATCTGACCATTGCTTGTCACCATATAGTTTTCGATAAGCAATATTATTTCCCTCTTACTAACTTGTGAATCATCAATCAACTGGAACAAAATTTTCTCATAGCTTTTAAATGAATTCTACAGCTCTTATGGTCAAAAGGGCTCTGGAAATTGGAGCATATTTTTGTCATATAGCTTGAAACTTTTCTAAAGGAGTAGTTGCGGTGTCTTCTGCTCTTCCTTAAGACATTTGCAATTTTTACTAGATCTTTATCAGTTTTTAATCTTTGTTTAAGTAATTTTCACAGTGCTGTTAGAGAAATTCTCCTCTAACTGCTTTTTTCCTCCTACTGCTTTCTGGTCAGCATTTACCAAATGCATCACAATCTTTCAGCAATTTATCATCAATACCAAAGGATATTCGTGAAAGACTTTTCTTCCATCGCAAGACCCCTTCACAAGCTGACAGAGCAAGAAAAAGTTCTTGTGGACAAAAGAATGTGAGGATGCATTTAACAACTTAAAGGTGGCTTTAACATCTGCTCCGATCCTGACGTATCCTCAGCTCGACCGACCATTTATTCTCGACACAGACGCGAGCAATGAAAGTGTCGGTGCTGTTTTGTCCCAAGAAATAGACGGCCAAGAACATGTATTGACGTACTGGAGCAAGTGCCCGTCTAAACCAGAGAGGAATTACTGTGTCACCAGAAAAGAGTTGCTCGCCATAGTCAAAGCTGTAGAACATTTCCATCATTATCTATACGGGAGAAAATTCCTCCTCTGCACGGACCATGCCTCATTGGCCTGGCCTTTTTTAAACTTCAAGAATCCTGAGGGTCAGGAGCCAGGTGGATACAGAGACTCCAAGAATATGACATCACTATCCGTAAGGGATCATCACACGGGAACGCCGACGCTCTGTCTAGACGATCTTGCCCAGAAAGATGCCGATATTGTTCCAGGGTGGAAGCGAAATACGAGCTGCTGACTCCGGTTGCAAGACAAATTACAACATCAACATCGGCTGATCGAGACCCGTGGAGTGATGATGAAGTCAGGAAAGACCAGCTGGAAGACTGCGACATTAAACACATAATTGATTTAATGGAGTCATCAAATAGAAATCCTACCTGGGAGGACATTTCTATCTGCAGTCCTACAACTAAACAATACTGGGCACTCTGGGATTCACTTCACATTCGAATCGGCATCTTATACCGAAAATTCGAATCGGATGATGGGAAGACGTTCTGATGGCAACTGATACTTCCAAGATCCCGGATTCCCGATGTCCTTAAAGAAATACATAACGGTCCTACAGGAGGTCACTTTGGAATAATGAAGACCTTGCAGAGAATTCGTGAGCGCTTTTACTGGAATAATGCAAAGGATGACGTGCAAAAGTGGTGCCGATCTTGCGATGCCTGTGCAGGTCGGAAAGGACCGAAGAGACGCAGCCGAGGCAAGCTGCAACGTTACAACGTAGGGTCACCTTTTGAACGTATCGCCTTTGACATCTTGGGACCTCTACCATGAACTGCTGATGGCAACAAATATATATACTCGTTATCATTGATTACTTCACCAAGTGGCCTGAAGCGTATCCTATTCCTGATCAAGAGGCTGTCACAATAGTTGAGGTGATGGTATAGCACTGGATTTCCAGGTTCGGAGTGCCTCTTCAGTTACATTCCGATCAGGGAAGGAATTTTACGTCGTCAGTAATCAAAGAACTCTGCAAACTGCTCGGCATTGACAAAACCCAAACGACGCCATTACATCCCCAGTCGGACGGCATGGTATAGAGATTCAATCGAACCATCCTTAATAACCTCTCATTAGTGGTTTCCAGAAACCAACAGGATTGGGACAAGAAATTACCACTGTTTTTACTGGCTTACCGCAGTGCTGTCCACGAGACTACCGGCTATTCTCCATCACAGATGCTCTTCGGATCATCACAGATGATCTCTTGCTTGGTCGCCCTCCGGATGCTCCTTCATCGCCTGAGGAATATATTCAAGATCTCCAGGCCCAGTTTGAAGTGATGCACAACTTTGCACGAGAGCAAGTCAACTTGGCGACGGAGAAGATGAAGACCCGCTACGACATAAGAGCTACTGAACATCAATTCCACGAAGGAGACAAGGTGTGGTTGTGGAATCCAAATCGACGGAAAGGTGTGGTTGTGGATTCCGACTCGACGGATTGTCCGAAATTACAGTCATCTTGAGATGGCCCGTACACAGTCCTAAACAGGCTAAATGACGTCGTGGTTCGGATTCGTAAGTCTTCGAACTCTAAATCTAAAGTCGTTCATTACGACAGGTTAGCTCATTACTATGGCCATAGTACGTAATGTAAATAATTGCAAATAGTGTAAGACCATGGTCCTTTTTGTTTCTAAATGTGTATTTAGTATTTGATTTGTATTTTGTATTTGATAGCATTTGTTCATGTTGTTTATTATTGTAATGTAATGCTTATTATTGCATATAAGTCACAGTTGTAAGTTTGGTTTCCTGTCCAGGGATTGTACTGCCCGGGACGTGCAGTCCTTGGGAAAGGGGGCAGTGTTACGGATTTGATATATAAATAGCTTATGTTAGTTGAATTGTAAATTAAATAGTTTTATTTCCCGCGCAGTGCAGCGCGTGACGAATATTAAAAGAAAGCTAAGCCGGAAAATTGAAAATACAAGAGCGCGTGCATGTAACATTTAATAAATATCTCTTTTCGATTTCAAGAAAGTACTAGAAAATTCTCGCGCGCGATTTTAAAATCTTATAAAAGGAGGAAAACTTCAGCGGTTGGCTACTAATTGCCGCCTAGCCATTGACTCGATTTCGATTTCGATTTCAATTCGTAGGAGTTACTTAGTTTTTTATTGTTTTAAGAGTTTGTTTAGAAAACTGCTCTTGTTGACTGCAGCTAATTCGCGGATTAGCTTTCGTTAGCTGTTTTGAATTAAGTTCTCTTGAACGTTTGAGTAGTCAAAAGATAACTACTGTGAGATATTATAATGCTGCATGAATATCTGAGGAGATTTAAGCATTTTTGTTGTGATAATAATAAAGTTTGTTGATTTTACATCGGTCTTGTGCATTCATTACGTATCGCACGCAACACAATGTTAAATGCACGTGCTCTTATATTTTTATTTTTTCGACCTAGCCTTCTCTTAAAATTTCTCACGCGTTGCATTTCACGGGAAATAAAACAATTTTAATTATAATTCTACTAAGATTAGCTGTTCAAATACCAAATTCGTAACACTATGTTCTGGAAAAGATTTACGGGAATACGCAAGCTACCAACAGTAGAGGGTTTGTGAGAAGCAATATTGTCAACAATTGTCAACACCTTGTTTCTAAGAAAACATTTTTGGAAAGTTCGATGCAGAGCCATAATTACGAACTGTTGCTCTTAGTTGAATCTGTATGGGTTGCTTAAATAAAAATATTACTGAAATGGTAAAAATTTTTATCTTATAATGCCCAAATGCAATTTGTATTTCTTTCTTCGATTAGAAGAAACGGGTTTTAAAAACGTATTCCTAATTTTGCTGCAATCATTATTCCGTATTTTTCACTTTATCAAAAATCCATTTTCTTTTTTAAATATTTTATTTCTCTATGTATTTTTATCACCTCTTGTTAAAATTTGTAACGCAGTATCACATATTTTTTTTAATTTCTTCATGATGATCTCTATTTTAAATTTTTCGAGTTGAGCTAAAGCAAAAGAAAAATCCCTTAAGACATTCACGTGAGAGTGATAGTATCGATATACTGCTTCATGCGTGCATCTTATCAATATTGGCAAGTCTAGATTTACAAAGTTCGAATTCCAAATTCTGAACTTTGGAAGTGGATCGTTTATTTCCCTCATCACTTGCTGAAACATTTCGATTTTTCTTATCCTTCATTCTAGAATGCAGTTTTAAGCTTTTCTGTGGTGTTTTGTTAAAAGCTGCACTATATGTCGTTTTGCTTTCCATTGCTATTGAGGGTGGATAATACTTCTGCTTTCCTCGATGAAATTCAGAATTGCATCTGAAAAAAATAAATATGCATATGAATTAATTGCATCTAAGAAAAAGCTCGATTGTCCGAATTGAGATGAACCACAATGGGTTAGGATAATATATTTCATATATAAAAAATATATTCGAATGGAGCCCTTGATTACCGGACTTTACTTTTAAAATTTAACTGAACAGAAACTAATTTTCAAAATTTTAAACTTTGATTTTTACTTTAAATTGTATTTTTCAGTAAAACGAATAAGTGGAAAATCTTGCAATACCAGTAACACGTACATATAAATGTGACTCTTAGCACAGTGTCGGCAGTAAAGTTCTTGTTTTGAGCAACTTTTAGACAATGGATACATATTAACTGGTTAATAGAGAAATTATAATTCTTTTGCATTTGTGTGTCATAATTGCGCATTACATTTATATACCGCAAGTTTTCATTCTGGCCCAAACATTGCAAACAATTCTGCATGTTGCTAAGGGAGAGCAGGGCAGATGAGTATAGGATTAGCAGTAGAGATTTTCGAATGCCATGGTCTCAAACTGAAAGCGGGCAGAATGAAAAAACTGAAAACAGCTAAAGGGTCGTATTTTTTTTATTATTTATTTATTTATTTATTTATTTTTTTAACAAAATGAAAATTTTTTACCTACAAGATAAATAATATTTTATATAAATTTTCAATTTGGCTTGTAGCCTTGGGAAAAGAAAATGCTAGAAATTATCGTCATCATTTGCTGCAGATGCTGTTCGGTTAATTTTCAATTGTGAAAAAGAGCTGTTCACATATAAATGAATTCCCAAGCAAAACATTATGTCCAAAAACTCGTAATATTTGGTTTTTGACAAGTGCCAAGAAAAGTTAATTAAATCTGTGTCTTTAAATCTTTGACTAACTTTGTCTTTAATCTTAACATTTAAATCACACTGTAAATGAGTTAACTCCACTTATAAATTTTTGCTGATGAGTTATGCACAATGGCAATGAACATAATGTAATTTTAGACTTCAAATAACTAAAATCTTAAAATCCTTGCGGCACCGTATTTTCAACAAATACGTGACTGAAATGCATTCGAGGTCCGCATAAAATTGCTTCGGGAGCCGCCAATTTGAGACAATGTTCTAAAGGACACAATTAAACTATATCGAGTTCTAAGAGATGAACTGTCAAAAGATTTGGATGAATTTTGATCATTGCGCCTGTCTTTTTAGACTTTTCCGCAATCATCGCCGACATTTACTCAGAAAAGATTTAACAATTCTGAGTTGCCGACTTTTAGGATAATCGAAATTCTACTAGGCATGTAAGAAATATCATGCATTTAATGATACAACTTATGTAGGAAACTATATAAGCATGGGGTACATCGGTGGTCTCAAACTGAAACTGCATGCGGGCCAAATGCTCGGTCTGGAAACTGCTGACGAGCCACTTTTTTTTTTTTTTTTTTTTTAACAGAATGAAACATTTTATAATAAATAAAAAATATTTTTAATAAATTTTGCATACTAAATATTTCTCAAGGCATACGTTAAACATTTACAATGATATTGCAAAAGGCAAAAAAATCAAATTTTTATTTTTAATTTCTATATGAAATCTGAAGTTTTGGTAAATATAAGACATTTTTGTTGGTGACAGCTAAATATTAAATTCTTAGACTGTCATATCTTTCAAATAATTCTAACATATTTAAATAATCATAACTTATTTTAATTTAAACAAAAAATAAACAAATTACGAAACTTTCTAAGTTTTAAAAGAAAATTTACTAAATGGTACAAAACTCTAGAATGAATGATAACAGCCTAATAATAGCTCTTTTTCTTATTTCTTAAATTTTCCTTCGACGAACAAATATATGTTATATATGTTTAATATGTATAATATGTTATAATATGTTTGTGAGTAAATAAATAATTATAAATTTCTTTCTTTCTTACAATAGCTTGACACTTGATGCGGTTTCGATTGTGATAAAGTTTGTAGCTTTGAGGAGAAATTGTGTTCATCACAAATTGTAGATGTTCATTAGTCAATCGGATTTTTTTATTATTATTTTTTAATTAATTAATATTTTTTATTATTTATTTTTATTAATTTTAAGCTGTGAAAAAAAAAATGGCTGTTAACGTATAAATGTATTTTCAAGCAAGAATTATTCTTAGGGTTAAAATTCGGAAATAGGCTATTTATTTTTTAACGAGTACGTAGTAAATTAATCAAATCTGTATCTTCAAATCTTAGAATAATATTTATATTGCTTTGTAAATTAATTATATCCATTTATAGATCTTCTGGTGGATTACTTTTTTTTTTTTTTTTTTTATTTTATTATTATTATGAAAACGAAAATAATATAACTCCAGACTTCAAGTAACTAAAATTTTGAAATCTTTCAGCACCGTATTTGCATTAAATGAATAATTAAATTATCTTTGCAGGCCGCATAAAATTGCTTAGGGACCGTGAGTTTGAGACAATGGGGATACATGACAATAAAATTACATGCATATTAAACTTTCCTTTTACTGAGCTATGAAACAACTAACGAAAAAAACTCGGAAGTATGAAATTTTTTATATTGAAAACAATTATTTACTACAGATTAGATATTATAAATTCCAATAGCGGTATTCATTTTACTTTTATTAACGGTCATACTAAGCTCATTAGCGATCGAGCGGTGAGTTCATTAAATACAAGTAGTTTAACCAAAACCCAAATAAAGCCTCACCACCCCTCCCAGTTTGAACAGAGGAAACAGCCTTGACCACATGAATATTTTCGTCGTTTCCTCAAATGCGTAACGTAAATACGAGTCAGTTTCCCTTCAAAATTCCTCCACAAAGACATCTTTCTCCTTACGCGAAGTTTTCGTGTGCTTTATTACAATTCAAATATCTCTAAACATGCTAATTTAGAAATGAATGCGCACATTCTATGGCTAAATTGAGCCCACCGTTGTCTGAATAGATAAGATAGCCCAGCATTGGTAGTTCAAGTTCGACCTGGCGAGCGGGCTCACTGCGAAAGCATTTTTCTGATTCTTCCTATAATATAATGTTTATGTTCCATATGTAACGAGTCCTATAATAACTAGCCACAATTTCTTAGAAAGTACGTTAAAATGGAGTTTCTTTCTTAATGGGTACCCATTGTGTGCCGTGCCATATTAGACTAAGCAACCAAACACATCATTAAATTACAACTATTCCTGAATGTTAATGGGACAAATACTCGGCAATGTAAAATTAAAACATAAATTAAAATAAATATGTGGAAAATAAAACATAAATTGGCCTTACATGTAAATTTATCGATTTCGAGGTCGACAAATATATAGCCCCCTTCTTCAGAAGCAGAAAATGTTTCAAAGAATTTCGAGAAAATAAAAGCTATGCCATTCTAAGATTCGTTTTCAGCCTGTCAAAGGCTTAGTTTTGCAACAATTCCTAAAACTATAAAAATATTTCTCCCGCCTTCTTAGCATGCTTCCGTGGTGTAGTGGTCAGCACACTCAGAGCGTATTCGAGAGGTCTAAGGTCCGAGTCGAGGCTGCGGCATTGCTCAATTCTTCAATTTCCTGATGAAAGAAAATTCTACATGCCTCTACAGTGGCGCCCGAACTAAAAAAAGGTGGTAGATGATGATTCTCCACCACCAGAATTTGGCGAATCTCTTTAAAAGGGAGAGTGTTTAAGGTATTTATCCCGCCTTCTTAGCACGCCGTCGTGGTGTAGTGGTCAGCACGCTTGGCTCGTATTCGAGAGGTCCAAGGCTCGAGTACCGTCGAGGGCATTGCTCATTTTTCAAGTCTTTCAGCATCAAAAGTCCTAATGTCTCTACAGTGGCGCCCGAACTAAAAATGGTAGTGAATGATGATTCTTCACAATCTGGATTTGGCGATTGGATCCCCTAAACTCCAGTCGTTCTTTAAAAGAGGTGTATATAAGGTATATCTCTCGCCTTCTTAGCATGCCTTCGTGGTGTAATGGCCAGCACCTTCGGCGCGTATTCGAGAGATCCGAGGTTCGATTCCCGGCGAAGGCGTTGCTCATTTTTCATGTCTTCTGCTTCGAAATAACCTAATGTCTCTACAAAATTAGCTTGACTGTAATTAAACTAGCCTGCCTATGGAAAAGGATGATTTTGTGGTGAGTATATAAGAGAACACATACCTTAACGCACTGGGAAAACGGTGCAGCACCAGGGTGCCTGGATCAAGGATCCTACCCCTTGTAGAATACATATGTTATTTCGAATACTGTCATGAGTAACTAGTATATATATATATATATATATATATAATGTTGTACGATCTTAAATTCATTTAGTGCGAAAACAAGTTACTACTACTTGCGCAATTGCTGCAAAGTTAGTTAATAATAATTTATTTCCTAAACAATATTGATTAATTAATTGTATTATCTCCTAAGTTTAATTAAAGTAGAATTATTTTAAAAGAGTGAATCCATACTGGTAAGTTATATTTTGAAAGATGTTTTGAAGTAACTTGAAAGTAAAATGTTAACAATGTTTTAACGGGGACTGGAATTAAATCATCATGAAGAACAAAACTTCAATTGTAAAAGGAAAAATTAAATTAAAAACAAGTAATCATTGTCATTGATCGGAAATTAGTTGACTTTTCAAGGGGAACAAACCAACTCCCGTTCAATGAATAATAATTAATAAAAATACGTAAATACGTAGGTGTTTCGTCTTTACTCGAGTTATAAGGTAAAGCCAAACCAGCAATTCTAGTCAGGCCAAATATTTCCGCGAATAGAAGAGATTACGAACCAATGCTGATACTCAAAGAACTTATTTTTATGAAGCATTTCAGCCAATTCATTTTGGAGTAAAAAGCAATTTCTGTAGATAAATCCGAAAAAACTCGAGTTACCGTCCCCGACACCCTCATGTTTATGCATTTGAGTTCTATATTATTTGTAAAAATTAAACATTGGAAATTGTCATTATGAAATAGAATTCAAAGTAAAGTTGA